GCCTTGTTTGTCGGGGACTGGTGCTTCAAAGGAATAATCATGCTGGGAGACGAACTGTGTAGTGTCGCAGTCGTCGTAACTATCGACCTTTGGATGCGGACGCTGGTCCCCCACAAATCGTCCGCGCGCGCTCTGGTAGTAGATCAGGAAGAAGAAACAGAAGCAGAGCGAGAGAGAGCGAGTGACAGGAAGACAGAGTGAGAGAGACAACGCAACAGAAAGAAAGAGCGGACGGCGTGGCCTGCCACAGAAAGGAACCTGAGAACAGCAGCTTTGCAGGACCTCTCTTCGATAAAGAGATGGAAAGTTCGCCTGCCTTGATTGTTCTGTTAGAGCCGCAGATCTGCGAACATACTTGATGTGTCTATTTCTCCAGGTATGGGAAACAAGGTGTCCCAAAAGAGCATTGTCCGTGGAGACTCGTTAATCTATGATGCTGCTGGGCTGTTAAGCTCTTGCAAACAGGGCCGTGTGGATGTGTACCATGGGAACAGCTACAACAAAGGACGATGGCCGTCCACTGGCTGTGCAGCATCGCAAAACACACATCCTGAGTTTTGGCAGCATGGGCCGAGAACTAGTTGCTGCTTGTTAGCTGATGTACATATTCCTGGAGTAATGCCTGGCTTGTCACATTGACTTTCAGTTTGGGACCCTGCGCTTGCACAGCCGTGGTCCACAATGTGAGAACCAAGGAACGATGTCTACTTCGCGTCCAGCAAATCGAAGTATGGGCACAGCACTGAGGGATTGAGGAGGAAAGCTGGCACGGCCCTGATGCGTAGGTCCTAGGTTGAATGAGGGCTGTACCCCAGGTGTCTCATCAGATGTTTGTATGGCACTTGGCTGTCAGGGTTGGATCCTGCAACTCCCAAGCCCGTGCTGTGTGATTGACTCAAGGCGATGTTTTTTATGCTGTTGTTTGGGACGCCAGCGCGACTGATGCTGGCTTGAGAACTGCTTGACGGCTTTTGGTCTTGGGGTGTAGTTAGTGTGTACTAAGGGTATGCGCTTGGTACTCTCAAAGAGAGCAATGCCATGGCGCAGTTGATGGCAGCGCGAGCTTGCCGCACAACTTTTTCAAGTCGTCATGAGCCTCCAGGAGCTGCAGGGGAACGATATGCAGTGGTTTGCGTCTCTTGCAAGCGAGTAGGCTTCTGCAAGGCTTTGAATGCCTTGTCACAAGCTGCAGCTGCTCGAATTGAACGCTCGCACGACGTTTCACCGCGTGGATGGGTTAGGCCAGGCTTTTGCAATCCGCTTCTGACCGCGATTGAAGGTGTCCTCCCAGCAAGCTGCAGAGTGACTCTTGGTAGCTCCCCATCCACGAGAGAGAAATTTGTTGGAGTCGTGGCTGCGACAATGACAGCCGAAGTCGCTCCAATCGGGAGACTCCGAAGAGCTCGGGGGCTGATCAGCCTTCTCATGGTTTCCCACCCATCAAAAAAACGGTCTGTGATGTTGCTGTCGCCGCAAACATTGTACTACATGCAGCAGCAAAATGCTTAGTCTGCAAGTTTTAAGCACGGTAGACAAGCTTCGCATGCTTCGCAGCCGCTCTGCTCCACCACGTTCTCTAGAAGCGAGAGGTCGCAGCCTGCCTCACCTCTCCGAGATCCTTGCCAAAGCAGATAAAGCTCAGCATAGCTCAGCAATGTCCTAGGACACCCCTCAGCTTCCTCAGCTTCAGGTGATGAGGCGACTCAGAGTCACGTCTCTGGCAACTTGCCTCTCTGCTCAAAGAGGGGATACAGGGTGCACCGAAGAAGGCTCAGGGAGCTTCCTGGCTTTGCTGCATACTCTTGCCTTCGTTTGACCTCAAACTCAGCTCGTGGCTGTAGCATTTTTTGGGTTGCTACGCCGTCTAGCTGTGCTATGTGTGGCCAATTGTCGCTTGTGACTTGTTTCACCTTGCATTGAGTTTCTGGTGTGCGTGCATCTCACCAGTCCGCCTCCTTGACAACAGAGCTGGAATTCCACTTTCGATCAGCTTCTCAGTCGAGCGGTGTCATGTGTCTGAAACATGAGAGCCCTGCCAATCGAAGGCGTGCTTTGCGGATGTATGGCGTCGCTCATGGCACTGCAGGCAATCTCATGCATACAGCAAGGACCGCTATGAGATGGATTCTGCCTCCCACCCAGGCTTCTGCTGCAGAAAGTTGATAAAGCTCTTGGATTTTAAGATCTGAGCATCAATACTGGACTGGTTTGAACTGTTCGGTTCAATCATTGCATGAAAACAACTGAGCCCGCGTTACTTGGACTAACTAAGCCGCCTCAGCATGCCTCAGGCGATCTCAGGCGCTTGCGCTGTTGTTGCACAACTGACAGTTGGGATTTTCCAGATGCGCAAGGACCTGCTTTTGCCATAGCCGACGTAGTCCGGGGCACTTCCTCATCCCGCACTGCAAGACACGTGCAAGTCTGAGGAAGCTTTGGGCGTTGTCAATCTGCTTGCGCATGTCCGAACATAAGTTTTCCACAGTTCAGGCAGCGGGTGACGACTTCGACTTTGGAGATGTTCCAGCGGGGTCGAAGCCTCCCAAGCCCACTGCCCAGGTGTCCCGGCATTCAGAGAGTGACTATAAGATCGGGCATGTCGGCCAATCTGTTGCCATGCCTAAGACACTTTCTATATCATATCATTCTACAGCTTGCGTGTGATGTCGTTCAGGCTGTTACGAGCGGAGCAGGCGAGATGCAGTGCAGTGGGGCGTCTCTTTATCTTTGCATCTGGGAGCATCGAGGTGATAGTCACTTAATTTGATATCACTTGACTCGAAATCCTGGATTTCTGTTAAGTTCGGAAAGCGCAGGATCAAACATGCCCTTTTTGAGTCACAAGCCCTGTTGGTGGTTGTGGTGGTGAAGGCGGTGGCAGTGGTGGTGGGGGAGGGGGTAGGGGTGGCGGCGAGCGACGGTGGTGCTCGTCGTTAGCAGCCGCCGCAGAGCAACACGCTTGTTTGATCGTACCGCGGCAACTCTACGCATGACTACAATCGGGTATCTGTTTGCATTATCGACCAAAGAGGAATTACAGTACCCTTGGCATCTTTACAGAATCAATCAAGAAGAATCAGCTTCGAAAGAAGTAAGAAACAACGAGAGGCTTGCTTCTGGCTTGGGGCTTGGGGCTCACCATCCAGAATCAGAAGAATGTTACACCTCAAGCCTTAATCTCAGACATGCAGTGTCTCTCCGCAAGCAGGCCTCCTGACAACAGCCCTTGCCATAACCCAGGTCGTTGCATCTGGGACGAAAGGTTGAACTCACAACTGTTCTTCAAATTGTCTCTTTAAACCTACCGACCTCCAAAGCTGACTCCCAAACCAGCCCTTTTTTTGAAGGGAGCACGTTCATCTAGATGAGGCGCGGGCTTTGTGATCGTGGACTGAGCGCAGTGAGCTGCAGGCGCAGCAGCGGACGACGACGACGACAATGATTACTTCGATGACGATGATGAGGAGGAGGACCTTATGGGTCTGAGATGATCTGATCGTCGATTTTCTTTCTGCCTGCCTGCAGCATCAGCGCGTTCCTAGCATGGACAGCCTCCAGCATTTGTCTCGGAAGCCGCAGTACCGGCGGGACGAGCCTGATATGGGGAGCGCTTCTTGAAACGCAGAGATGGCATGTCTAAATAAGACGTTCACTTGTGTTGAAGCCTGCCTGCAGATTTGCATGTAACCATCCGAGGTCGCTCCATTTGTAAGCTTTGCCCTCCTCGCACTTGGGCAGCTTGCCAGAATTCAGGTGTTCATGCGATTCCGGGCAGAGCGATTTTGTATGCCAGGGCCAGAAGAAAATATTGGGCCCCAGTCTCACAGGTAGACGCATGAGCTGCAGGCGTGCAGCAATTATGATGACCGCGTTGAAAACAGTAATTAAGCCAGAGCTTGACCCATGCACCCAGCTGCATGCAAAATGGTTTAACAGTAACATCTACGGTACCGAGACTCCAGAGAATCATGAGCAAACAAGCTGCAAAAGAAAGGTGCCTTTCTACAGGAGTTTGGTTCCACATGGTACTTAGTGCGGCTTTCTGGGCCAACGTGTCAGAACATCTTCACAGAGCTCCGTGTCCGTGAAGCAGCTGCCCCATAATTCAGGTCAATCGGATTTATCGCGTTTCAGGCAGGGCTATAAGAAGCGCAGCCTTGTGATACAATCGCAGAGCATGCAGTAGCATGTGCAGCATCTGCCATTCTCACATGGTCAGGTTAGTGCGCAACCTGGCGAAGACATTGTTGCTGGTGTGAAGACTCCGGGGTATTACTGACAATGCTGAAGTGGCTGGGATGGGGGCTACCATGAATAGTCTGGAGCCTTGATTGTCTGATACTCCAAGGTAGATCGTCAAGAGGGTCATACGAAGACATTTACAGGCCTTCAAAACCTCATTCCCCAACCCAATTTCAAACCCCTCCCCTACACACATCACTTTCACACAAACTCGGTCACTTGAGCCACGATTTGTGGCATGTCATCCTTGCGCTCGGGGCCATGCTTCGATGCCCTCATAACTTGGTACACTTCTCGGATTTGTGCATGGAACACCAACACTCCTCCTCATGCGATTTCCATGCATGGGAAGAGCATGTTCCCTGAGTTCCAGCACCAAAACTCTACAACCACAGCGTGCTAGGGAAAACAGACCATCATCGTCAAAACAGCATGTCCGACCCAGCCTATGGGCTCTTGCCTGGCAGCCCCGTTGCCAGTAGATTTCTTTCTTGTATCGAGGCTCGATCACTCTTTTGTCCCAGTGGACACACCTACGATGATCATCCGGCAACACTGCGGAAACAGAACTGCACTCACATGTCATTCAAATTACGGTCTCAGGATTTGCTGGACTATTCCTTCGGCGAAATCCGGCATGCAATGTTGGCATTTCAACTGAAATCACGGGATCTAGCTACCACATGACCAGCCCAAAAGTGCGTACGTAGTGCAAACGTGTCGAAATTCCCATCCTTGATCCTGTTGATACATGTATGTCACTGCAGCATCAACATTGTTCGCATGAACTCCAGTCTAGCTCTTGCCAGCACCTTGGTCAAAGCATCCGCTACCAGAGTCTCGCCCGGCTCATGCTTGATTGTAATCGGTTGCGTGGCAATCTGATCACGAATCCAGCTCGCCCGAAGGGCAAAGTGCCGCGTCCTCCAGGTCACTCGGTTGAAGGTGGGATTCGTAATCAAAGTCACGGCACTTGCGTTGTCACAGAACATGTCAATAACATGCCGACGTCCCGGGAGCTGATCCAAGTTTTCCTTCAGCCTCAGTGCGTCCTGCAACCCAGTGGCAGCGGCTTCGGTTTCGCCCTCGCACACACTTCAAGCAGTCAGTTTCTGTCGAATACTCCGCCAGGAAATGACATCCGTACCCAACTTCAACACGACTCCAGTACGTGAACGACTCCCTTGAGAAGCAAAGCTACAGTCGCTGTACGTCGAAATAACCGTATCAGTCGATCCAACAAAACGCAGGCCCAACCACATGGTCTTACGAACGTATTTCCAGACGCACTTCAGTTTTCCCAGGACGTACACAGGACAAATCACAGTCAAGCACGCCAACATGGAAACCACAGTTTGAATGTCCGGCCGAGTCCTCATTGCCGCCCACATCAGACTTCCAATGTTGCTCTGGCACTCCTTGACCTGTTGTGCATACGCCTCTGTCCTCTCTGCTGGCGTCTGCGGAGCGTCGTCCAGATTTGGCAACGATGGCGAGCCTCTCAGCTGGGCATAACCCCGACGATGGAGCTCTTGTGCCAACCAACGGTGCTGGTCCAGCTGCAGTCCCTGGTCATCCAACGTGATCCGAGGTCCCAAGAACACGAACTCATCCACCTTCCGGATAAGCATGCTTCCTCTCTGCACCTTGCTCGCAACATTCCACCCCATGATGCCCTGCACTGTAGCGTTCCAGACCTCAAGAACATACTCCAACACACGCATCATTGCTTCAGAGTTTCCAATGCACAGTCCATCATCCACAAACATGGTTGTGTAGCCTAGGAGTCGACCATCTGAGATAGCCACAACACTCCACAAGCCAGGAATGTCAGGATGGGCCCTCAGCATCAGATCACCATGCGTATCTGTGGCCTTTGCCTTGAGGATCTTGTCATCCAACTTGGATCCACGTTCTGTTTCCCAGTCTCTGGGGGCACGCTTCAAACCATAAAGCGACTTGTCAGGAACCAGTAAGGTATCTGGATCAAAGTAACCCAGCTTCACAAGTACCCCTGGCGGCCACATGGAAATCTTATGCCCTTTCTGCAACCAAGAATTCAAGAAAGCCGCGGAAATATCAAAGGCAAAACCCGCCCAATCCCGATTGCTGGCCCATTCATGCACCAGGTATCGCAACGTATCTGCGTCAACGTTTTGGCTTGACAAATCCTTCCCAGGCTCCTCCTCAAAGTTGCCACAGGCTACTATGCGACACTTGGCCTTGAACGAGGCCAACTCGGTGAGCTCTGCGAGCGTCTGGGCTGACATACCGGACAGATCTTCCTTGCTGGTTCCCTTGGGGATCTGTTCACTGACCTCCGCATCCAGAGTCACGTCTCCTCCCTCAAGAAGCGGCTTACGAGTCAGAACCAGTTTCATAGGCAGAGGTGGGGGAATGTATTCGGTTGCGCCCAAACCCAAAGCCTCCCTGACCTTGGATTTATGGCACTCCCGCCATACAGACTTGGTCTCCATGTTTCCCAACTCAGCCTCCACAGAACCGATCCACTTCTTTTGCGCCATCTCGCTTCCAGAGGTCAACACAGAAGTCGTCACTGATTCCACGGTCAGTTGCTTCTCGGCCAGAATGGCTGCCAACCTCTCGCTATCCTCGATTTCTTGCTCTTCCTCCACAGACAGGCCAACGTACCTTGAGTCCGAACCCATAACACTTGCTTTGGCGGTGGCTGCATGTGCCACGGGACCCGGTGCTGCTCCAATTTCGGGAGGCAGAAGAAAGCCATGGTTGAAATCCCTAAAGTCCACAGCACTGGCCAGCCCTTGCAGGCCACCCTCCGCCATAAGCTCCGGTTCTTCGTCCAACGAGGGACCAAGCATGCGCTCCTCAAAGGTGAGCACTCCACCGTCCGGTGGGGCTTCCCATCCGATTTGCCCATTCGAGGACACCCACACAGTCTGGCCCGAGTCAGGGTTTGTGTGGATCTTCCAGCGCGGCCGCGGCTCGTTGTTCAACCTGGGACAGTATGTTTTCACAAGCACCTCACGGCCATCACGCACCACAAGAACCAAAGCCCCATTTGACACTCGATCATCGTGGCACACAAACCTCGCCTTCATTGTCCTTGGTTGAAAATCCTCAGTCTTCTCAGGCCTAAACAGCACTGCATTGCCCATTGTCGGGGCGTCGGCCGGTATGCTGCCGTGAAGGGTCATGTGACGCTGTCTGTAGGCATATTCACGCATAGCAAGGTACCAGAACCGAACAGGGTATCGCGCATGAAGTAAAAGCGATATCGTCCCCAACTTCAGCTTTTGGACGTACCGCTCGGCACGTCCGTTGGCCTGCGGACAATACGGCGCCGACATTGTCTGCCACACACCCAGTTTGCTGGTCATCTGCTGGAAGCGAGAACCAGAAAATTCTCCACCCCCATCCGAATGGATCCTCACAAGCTGTGCTGCGCCAAGAGAGTAAAGTCTCGCGAGAATTTGCACTGTGGCTTCGGCAGCCTCTTGGGCCGTTTTTCGTCGAAGTCCCATGGTGTATAGGAGCGACTTGCCCGACCCCAGGGTATAAACACCCACCAGAGCGTACCTGAACCCTTCCGTGCTTGGCGCGTGAGGACCAGTAAGATCAAGTGACAGCGCAGCGTCCTTCACGTCATCAGGATGCAGTTTCCTATGGGGTCGCATTGCCCCACGTCCTTCTTTACACTGCGAACAAGACACATCATACAGCCCAGAATGACACTTCTTTGCCAGCTCTGCCAATGATGTCTCGTATGCGGCCTGATCCCATCCAGACGCATGCTGTGGCTCCGTCGCATCCACCTCAGAGGCTTCAGCCAGAAAGGACAGGACCTGCTTTGCAGAAACCATGGCGGCGGGGTCGCTGCCCTCGGGCATTTCACCGAAATCATCACTTGCAACCCCGAACACCAACCCCGAAGCATAAGACCCCATGTCCCTGCCTGAGCAACCCTTTTCCCCGCTACTAGTGGAGGTCTCTACCCCGCGGTGCTCTTCAGGGTTAGGGAGCTGGTTGTGGAGGTGATGCTGAGGTGACGTGGTGTGCTTGGGTGCTGCTGGTGGATGTGGGTCTGTTGGTATGCTGCTGCAGTCAGTGCTGCTGCTTTGGCTCCTCCTGATCGGGAATCCCAACTGCCGAAGCTTCTCACGCGTGTCGTCTGTCCACTGGCGGTGGGCCGTGCCACTTTGACCCGTCAAAATGCACCACGCCCTCCTTCAAGGACACGCATCTTCCAGCTATCGGATCCTTCCCTTCACAAACCACACGCACCTCTGAACCTGTTTGATCCTCCACCCACAAGTCCCCACCGCTGTACTCCGTAAACGTCGTGATGTATGTCGGACAATCCTTGGCGTTGTTGTCCTTGTGCGGTTTAAAGGCAACCGAATCCAACACTGCCACAGTTCCAAACTCTCCTTCCGGTACCTCCTGACGAAAGTATCGTGTCAAAAGCTGCGCCAGCAAAGGATGTTGTTGCGTCGCCTTCGTGAGTCCAGTCATGGGACCATGGGCAAATCCTCCAAAGATCCATGCTCGAATCTTTCCCCCTTCCTCCGAGGTCTTTCCCGCTCTCGCCGTTCGAGTGGGCTCCAAAGCCGCTAGGTCCAGAGCCTTCTGAACATCCTCCTTTTCTATCACGTCCTTCCGCAGGATCTCTCGGATGGCATGTTCATACGCCACTTCGGCGAACATCTCACAGCCGTGCATCTCAAACTCGGCCGCCTGCAGGAGGTCTTGCGAGATGAACAGGTTCTCCACCGGCTCCTGCTTAGCCATTGCCCTAGCCACACGGATACGTCCATCCGAAGACTTCCAGTGACGGGACAGCACCTTCCGCAACACAGCAAAGTCCTTCCATAGGATGTATGGAACTGGGTCGGCCCCTGGGATAATTAATATTTTCCTGTCATTGCTGTAAAATTAATAATAGTAACTAGTACTATAGGAGTCCGAAGGGTTCAGGATTCTGTAATATTAACTTTAACATAGGTGTCCGAAGCGTTGGTTCAGGATTCTTGCACAGCGCCTTCCCTACTTCCCCGTGCTGGGAAGTGTAGGATGCGCTGTGCCTCCTATACTTCCCTGTGCAGGGAAGCAGGGGATGCGCTGTGCAAGGGTCTAGGAATAGGAACTACAGGACCGAATTCGACATGTCATGAAACAGGGCCCGAGTCCATAATAATAGTAGTGAACCTTTAGCACTGTATCGAACAAGGCCCGAAAACCCTACACGTCCCCAGACCCCATGATGAACCGTAACACTGTATCAGACAAGGCCCGAAAATCCTACACATTTCCTTACTCCGACCATAATAAAAAACACAAAGCTTGTTAATGGACATTTGACCACTGGCCCGAACCCCGTCATGAACCATGAACCCTCCTCGCCCCAAACTCCCTGATCCTGTCTTGGAACATAAGCCCACTCGCCCGTATGCCACCGCTGCCGACATCATCGCTGATCCTGCTGGGGCCCCCAGGTGATTTGGGTTCTTAGGCTTAGGATTCTTTAGGGGGATTATCGTCCGTCAGGACGCAGACCGTGAGGTCGCAAACATCCGTCAGGATGCCGACCATGAGGTCGAAACTGGCCGCGAGGCCACCGACCGTGAGGTCGACAACATCCGTAAGGATGCCGACCGTGAGGTCGAAACTGGCCGTGAGGCCTCCAACCGTGAGGTCGAAAACATCCGTGAGGATGCCGACCGTGAGGTCGAAACTGGCCGTGAGGCCACCGACCGTGAGGTCGAAAACATCCGTGAGGATGTGGCCGTGAGGCCACCGACCGTGAGGTCGCAAAATGGCATCCAACAGGATGCTGGCCGTGAGGCCGCCGACCGTGAGGTCGCAAAATGCCATCCGTCAGGATGATGCTGGCCGTGAGGTCGCCGGCCGTGAGGTCGCAAAGAGTCATCCGTCAGGATGTTGGCCGTGAGGCCACCGACCGTGAGGTCGCCAAGAGTCATCCGTCAGGATGCTGGCCGTGAGGCCACCGACCGTAAGGTCGCCGAC